TTTAGAAAAATAACATTACTTATAATCCAAATGAAATTATCAATTAAAGACTGTTTATTGAAGACTTAATTCTGCTTGTACAAGATAAAAAAAAAATGACAAAACAGTAAAAGTGTAGAAATTGTTTCGATAAGTTCATCTGTTCAAGTTTCCTTATTATTACATGTAAAAAATTTAAAAGACTAATGCAGAAAAGATGAAATGTGAAAGTTTTCTTATTTAAGATATAGATTACAGAAGATATTTAAAATTTTAATTCTAGGAAGTAAAACAGTATAAGTGATATCAGAAAAACTATAATTTTAATTTTTAAACAAAAATTTATGGATTTGAAGTTAAATGTATAGAAATTTTGACTTTCTGCTGTAAACAATTTAAAAAATAATATATTTTAACAAATGTTGAATTATTTTGATCAGAATATATGATACAAAAGAATTGATAAAAGTTCTAGTTTTGTACTATTTGATTCTAGTATGTAGTTTTATATAGGGGTTGGCTAAGTTCATGTGACTTTTTTTTATTGTGTAAGTGAAAGACAATTTATTCAATAATGTGCTGTTTGACGTCTTCCTCTGAAACAAAATGCTGTTTATTTAAAGATTTTTGAAGTGACCAAAACACGTGGTAATCAGAGGGGTAATATCTGATGAGTATGGAGAATGTGACAAGACCTTGTGTTTGCAAAGATGAGTGAGGTCCAATGTCATGATGTCTTCTATCTTTCCAGTTTATCAATTCTAGATGCTTCTTGTGAATAGCTGCATTCAATTCATCCAGTTGGTCATAATATGCATCCAAATTGATTGTTCTGTTCTTCAGAAGTAGCTTGGAGAACACAAAACCCTTTCTACCAAATTGAGAGCATGATGATGTTGAAGCCCTGTCTTTGAAGTAGTTTGTAGTGGTTTACCACAGAGTTCTCATGATCATTTGCATTCGACATTGTATATGATCCATTTTTCATTGCTTGTTACCATGTGCTTCAGAAAAGGATCTTTTTCTTTGCATTTTCTTAGTGAATCACTGATGGAAATGCATTCTTGGAAATTTGTTTCATACAGTTGATGCAGATGGTTTTCCACACTCAATTTCAATATTTGGAGAATGCCTGCAATCTCATGTTATACAGTGTGGATTGGTATCAATCTCCCAAGCATGTTGTGTCTTGGACAAAACTAAATCTTGTAACAACTTCTGACACACATTCTTTGACACATCTTGCCACACATTGCATATATATTCTTACAAGTTCACACTGCATTTTTGCCTTTTAAAATAAAAAAGCATAATGTGCCAAAAATGCTCTTTCTGTTTATCTATCTTTTAATTGATAATCAAACACACAAAACACAACCAATCTTTACACTTTAAAAAAAAAAATGAATTTTGAAATGTCAATTTCAAACAGTTACAAGTTTTCAGAATTTGAACTGAAGTTTGTTGCTTTTCCTAACATCTGCTACCATCTATCAACAAAACCACATGGAGTTATTGGCCAAGCCTATATCATTTGGAAAAAGAAAATTAGTCTTCTTTAGAGCTTTTATTTTTAAGTCATATTTCATTAATTCCAGCTCAACTGTATCAAAACTCTTTAAAATTGAAATGGCTTACTGAAATAATATTTTTTTATTAGTAACAGGAAGACCAGTACTTTTTTCTTCAAGTTAAAGTAATTTAACTTCTTAATTTTGCATTAAATTTTATATAAAATTTTTTACTTGTAAGTAAAAATTTCATTTTCATGAAATGAAATAAAAAGTCAAAAATCAATCAGTCTTATTAATTAAATTTTAACTTTAGAAATATTTTTAAACTTCACTTCATTGTTACATATATAAATAAATTAAATAATGAAAATCAATTTAATCATTTAAGAGTACAACTTCACTTTATCCAACATCGGAAATATCAGTTACTAGCAGACCCCGCCACGCGTTGTTGTGGCTCAAAATGTATCTCTTATAAATTTATAACACTTCCCCCGTGGGGGGGAATTTTTTGAAAAATTTCTTCTTAGTATACATTCTCTTGACGTACCCTATTAAAACACAATCAAAAATGCAAAAACCCGCATCTAAAATAGTATAAATAGAAGCAGAGTTCTTTACGGTAAGCCTTAATCCCATTCATCTCCCGGGGGGATTTCGACATGTATATTATATAAAAACACGTGCGTATTTGAATGCAGCGTTGTGTCAAAATTTCAAAGGAATTGGTAGGAACAAACGAATATTACATTTTTATTTATTGTGTACTGGCACAATGAAGTGACGTTTTTCTCAACACTGGGCTAGTTGAATCTTTTATTTAGTTAGAACGTTTTTCCCATACATCAACGTTTCGGGCATCAGCCCCTCTTCAGCTAACTAAATATATANCAATTTTTATTTATATAAATAGAAGATGATCCGCTTTAGTTCATTTTCACAGAAAAGCATAATGCTTCACAGAAAAGCAAACTTAGGGCATAGTACTCGTAGCGCCGTCTGTTGGACGTAAAAGCCTTAACCCTAGATGATATAATTTAATTTATATGAATGTTTAACGGAATAATATACAGCCTATGTCCACCCTGAAGTTCCATTCTAAATATTGGTGAAAGAATTTTTGAAATCGGATGAGTAGTTTTGGAGATTACTTGCTGCAAACAAACTTACATACAAACATCACCTCTTTATAATATTAGTATAGATTTACCGCGAAGCCTGTTAGAATTAACGGAAATTTGTCACCGCCTGAAGAAGAACCATTGAAGGTTCGAAAATGTTTGTGAAATTTTATTTTTTCATTTTTTGAAGTCAATTGCACACCAGTAACAGGCTTCGAGGTATGTAATTAAGAGTACAAAACAAAACTTTTAAAATAAAACAATATCTGATAGCACAAAATTTTAAATTTTTTTTATTTGAAATTAAAGTTTGAAAAGTATTTTTGTAAAATATAAAAAAGTTAACAGAATTTGTAATTATTTATTTTACATATCTATTTTAATGTGGTAAATCAATTTCTTTAATATTTAAATTTGTAAATAAGTTCTTATCAGCAAGAAAATTAATAAGTTAAGCCATTAGGATATGAGATTATTATTTCTTGAAAAATGTAGAAATGTAGTTAATCTCTTGTCAATAAAAGTCATTAATTAATATCTCAAATGTTTACTTGATTAATAAAGTAGAACCATAGAATGGTTAAAAGCAGATTAATTTCAGATTCATCTATCAAGAAGCTTGAATATTTGCTCAAGAGTGATTTTATCTTTTAGAGAAAAATAAAGTATTGGGAAGATCTGGACAAAATTATTTCATATCGTTATAGATAGTAACAATGGTTATCTTGCTTTAATAACAAGATGTTATGACAGCTCATACCAGAGAATTCCCTTTTTTTAAATTCCTGTTATTAAGTGTAAATCTTAATGAGAATGGAATTTATGCAAGAAAATTTTTTATATTCTTTTCATTCTCTTAATTTTACAAAAAAAATAAAAATAAAAAGCTCCTTTAAGCAACCGTAGAGGAAAATATTGAAATTTGCTTCAAGCTTTTGCTTCTTTTTTCTACAGATGAATCTAGATTTGATTTACAGATTAATTCTGAATATGTTTTCATTTGGAAAGAACAAGGAATCAAATTTGTTCTGTAGTGTTTGGAAAGGAAGCACATTTACTGACAGCAGAATATTAGTCTAGATCAGAAGTTGGGAACCTTTCTCACCTCACAGGCCACAATTCACAATTTTGAGGCTCATCTGAAGAAAAGAACTGAACCAGGGAGGTTCAAGAACCTCCCTGGTTCAGTTCTTTTCTTCCAGATAGTTCTAAATTTATTAAATAAATTATTAAAATTATAATTATTAATTTAGTTAAAAGATGGCATCTAATGTCTATCTCTAGTAGCAAATTACTTTGTATTAATTATTTAAAATTAGCAGAATTATAGCCTGATTATTTAGGTGATTGTTTGGTAATGTTTTTGTTTGTATCATCTGAAAGAATTTTATGATATCTCAGCAAAAGCAGGCCTTTGTTCTAACATTATTGATATTACTAAATTAAAATTTGTTGAAAAATTAGCATTTTTGAACAAATAGGGAGAAATGTATAATTAACCCCTTGACTTTTTGCCACCAAAATTTAATAGCATCATATATAAAGTTACCATGCCAAATTTTGTTTCTTAATCTTTATCCCATCCAGAGATATTAAACTAAGTGATGGGCATATTGTACACACACACACACACACACACACACACGGAATGTTTTTGCTTAGGAGGTCTCAAAATGTGAAGATTTGCAAAACTGAAGGTCAGATTTGATGCAATTCCAATACTTTTCCTTGCTATGTATACATAACAGCTGGCCAGCAAAATAAAAAGGAGTGCAGAAAGAAAGAAAGAAATTAAATTACAGTAGAGCATCGATTATCCAAAAGTCAATCATCCGAAACATCAATCATCTGAAAGAATTCCAGTCGGCAAATTTAAATTTTCGCCAGTGCTGTGGCACTGCAATCTTTGGCTATGTGTTGGGCTATTCAAATATTTTACGTTTTTGATACTAAATTAACTTCTGAAGTATAATTTTTTTATTGTTTTTATATTTTTCAATATATTTATTTTGTTTGTACAAAATAAAAAAATAATTTTTAACGATACAATAGTCTTCGTTAGGCTTAACATTGACAAAAATTCAATGTGAAGTGACACACAATGGAGAAAAATGTCAAGATGAGATAAATTAATTCATTTTATCGTACATAATCGGTTATTCGAAACACTGATCTTCCGAACAACCCCAGTCCCCAATTGATTCGGATAATTGACACTCTACTGTACTTAAAAGTTAATTATTTTTAATATTGAGCAGGATACTGAATTGCTGATCATACAACTGTGATTTATTATTAAGTTATTAATAAACTTTGTATAATAAATAATTTATTTAACATTTTTAAGTAAATTCTATCATTGATGCAAATTTTTAAATATTTATAGGAATGGCACAAGCATGATTTCCCTCATTATTCCTCCTAAAGATCAAATATCAAGAGTATCGAAAATGCTTGCGGATGAATTCGGTACAGCTTCAAATATAAAAAGTAGAGTAAATAGATTATCTGTATTAGGAGCTATAACGTCTGTCCAGCATAGGTTGAAATTATATACTAAAGGTTAGTTTAAAACTTTTTATTAACTAATTTGTTGCTATTTATGTACTTTTTCAGTTTAAATAATTTGAACTTTATACTGAATGATTAATTTTGATAATTATTATAATTTATAATGATTTTTTATATCTTCCTTTATAGACAGTCATAGTATAGAAAAAGTAAGAAAACTGTAATTTTGATATCTTAATATATTAAAGAAATTTGACAAATTCAGTCATTTTTTTAGCAATTATGAATCTTTTTCTTCAACAAGTACAAAAACCTATATAATATGTTGTGAAAAACAATGTACAATACCATTTTTTTATTTTTCACTCTTTACTCAATACAATAGCAATATTTCAGAACATTTCATATAAAATTATTTAAAAAAGACACTCAATACACAAACTAAACACATTAATTCAATGTTTAATTTCTATAATTTCCACTTAACTGGGTTAATTGGTTTATTAACAATCCTCTAATTCAGTTTATACTTTATACAATATTGAATGCATAAATTAGTATTATTTCAGTAATATATATTCAAGAAACAAAATTATAAAATTTTAAAGTTGAATAAAATTATAAAAAGATATGGGCAAATAAAAAGAATCCATCAATCAGAAACTCTGCTTAACAATGTTTTTTTATTTGCTGTTTAAAGCTCATTCTTGCTTTATCACACTTTGAAAATATACAAATTTATTAAAGGATGAAAAAAAACATACTGTATAAAAGACGTTTTTACATATAAAAATTTTGTAAATTCTCTGACGTAAATTATATTTTGTATATTATTTCTGTTTTTGTAATCAGTTAAGCTAAAAAGATGTTAGAATTTGCTGTTTTTCCTTATTTCAGTTTTATCAGATAATCAAATTCTTATTTTAATAGCTGCATGTTCATGGTTCAAGCATGGCCAACGAACTGGCCATGTGGAGTTTTCTGGGTTTTCTTTACATTACTAACATCTAAATAGGGTAAGCTTTCCATGAGTCTTCCTGGGATGCATCCCTCTCGGAAGATCGCTCATGTGTTGCATTGTCATAACTAAGTACAGGTAACCCCTGTATAACACGGCATTTCTATAGCGTGGATTCACTCTAACACAGTTCGAGAATTGGGAACATCCCCGTATAACATGGTGCTTTTATAGCACAGATTCACTAACACAGTTTGAGAATTGGGTAAAACCCTTGTACAACATGAAATGTAATAAATTTTTACATACTTAAGTACTAATAGTTCACAAAAATTATTATTTTCGTGAAGTATCAGTACTCAAGTATGTAAATTTTCTTTTCCACCATCTGTCAATACACGTAATCCTTCTAGAAACTTGTTTCAGTGTTGCCAGATCTTGACGTTTTTGATTTTGTATTGCCAGATGTTTCCCCTTATTCCATACTTGCTTTATTGCTAGCACCATATAAGGAAATTTATAAAGATCTTTTAACTAAAAGCAAGCAATCTAAAATAACATATTTTTTGCAAAAGGTAGAGCATGGATCTGAAGATAATGCAGAAAAATGCTCAGAGGATAAGGGTATCTTGCCAAAAAGAAAATACCCTCGGTTAATAGTGCTTAGTGATGACAAAGAAAACATTCTAATTTATATTAATACTAGCAGATAAGCCCGGCGTTGCTTGGGCAAAAAGTAACGATAGCGAAGATTAAGATTATTACATTACAGCTAATCTTACTTGTTTTTACAGAATGCAAGAATTAGGTTTCTCTGTTTCCAGACTAATTAGAAAATTTTTAGATGGGTCTAAAATAATGTTTGATTTTCTGCAAAAATGCAAAAAACCTCATCTGTGCCTGTAAATCTTGCACATTGCTTTCTCTTCACACTTCCATTCTTAACACTTCCATTGTTGAAGCCTTAATCCTGTACCTTTCCCCGCAGGGGGGGGAATTTCGAAAAATCCCTTCTTAATGTACATTCTCATGACATACCCTGTGTACCAAATTTCAAGTTTCAACTCCTAACCGTGCTGAAATGCTCATTTACATGCACGCCACCTATCGTAGGATAAATGTACTATACCAGAAACCTTCACGGGAGTGTATTAAACAACTTCCCAAAGTTTCATGACAATGGATAAATGAACAACTTCCCAAAGTTTCATGACAAGCGGATAAATGGTGTAGTAATGCATGAAGGATAGACAGACAGCAGACATACATTCGTTTTTATATATATAGATGTATCACTGAAGAAAATTTCAATAAAGATATTTATCTTAATTATGAAAATATAATAGCATGTTTTTTTAATTTTTGGAACCTAACCCCCCTTTTCGTACTAGTTCTTTGTTTTGTATAACACAGATTCGCATAACACGGCAATTTCTTAGAACATAACTTCCGTGTTATATGGGGGTTACCTGTAAACCAAACTAATTCTAATGAACTTATCTTGGCTGAGAATTATTTTATTTTCTGAATTATTTGTAGTTTTTCACATTGTGATTTATAAACAAAGTTGCAGCCTGGCATTGTGACATGGTCACAATGTTCTCAATTTTTGTCTCAATGTTCTCAATTTTTTAGTGGTGGTCTTGCCCCTGTACATCAGACTTTTCCTGTTACATTTTGAATCAAAGGGTGCGTTTACTTTTGAGTTAATAGTGCTACTTCTGAACACTAGAAGTGATGTCATTAGCATGTGTATTCATGCTTACGTCCAGTTTGAAAGTAAACGCGAATGCTAACAAGAAATATGGCGGTTTCCTGCAAATAATATTGTCAAAGCTGTTATTTTAAATGTTATGTTACAGATAGAACTACTTGATTCCAAATCAGACGAGGATGATTTTATTGTGGATATAATTGTAGAAAAAAGAAAAGTAAGGTCAAATAAAAAAGATAGAAACTTTTATTGTTGAAGACTCTACCTTTTTATAAGCCAATTGATTTTAAACAACCTTAAGAGAATGTTTTGAAATTCTCCCCTAAAAAATAAGCCCAATTATAGACACAGAAAAATTACTTCTTCTGGAAGACGACCTGTGTCTCCTCAAAAGCAGCTTTTATGCTACCTATGGACATTGGCAAATCAAGAATCATTCAGGTTTGTTTATACAAAGTAATATATGAAATTAGATGCAGTATATAAGAGAATAGTAGATTATACATACTTATAATACATATTTAAAGCAATTGTTTTACCCAGTGAATGGATGTGGCATTGTTCTTTTGTGGTGTAACTAAACTGAGTTCAAAATTAACAAATAATTGATATTAAATACAAAACATTTTTTTTTCTCTTTCTTTCTTTTCTCTAAGGGTATTGACAATTATTTTAATGTTTAGACAGACTGCATGGAATATTTTAAATAAAGTTGTTAATTCTTTCTTACAAGTTAGTGTTAAATGAAAATGAAAAATGATCTCTTGGCCATCACAGAGCAGGATGATGTAAGAATAATAGAATTTTTTCCATTCCAGGAAAACCAGATTTATATTCAATCTGGTTTTCTTGGAATTAAAAGCTCTATTGATGAAAAGCATATGGCTATTAAGACAGCAACTGAAGAAGCAGCAACTTATTTCAATAGAAATAAGTATTACTCTGTCATCATATAAGTTTAGTTTGTAATGAAAAAATGTTATTTCAATGGTACAATTTCTTGAGAAGTCATTTCCCATATGTAAGTGAAAATTCATTCAAGTATACAACTTATATAATTTTGGATTATTATTAATGCTGTTCATTTCTTTATGATTTATTTATTGCTCTGAACATAATATTTCTGAAGATTCCAAACGCGTATAAGGTAAACCTCACTTTTAATCATAAACAATGAATCGAACTTAAATTTTTTCACTTCAATTAACTCTGTTTATGAAAAAATTATTTAAAGCTATTGAACCTTACAATGAAAGAAAAGATCTTACACAACAAATAATTGAAATTTACCAATAAAAATACTTTGCCATTTATTTTTCGAAAACTAATTCCATTTTTTATTACTTTGTACAGAAAGTAATTTTTTCATGAGAGCAGCCATATTGAATTAGTGCAAAGCTCGACAACAAACTAGCTAGCACCAATTTCGCTAAACATGACGTCACATAGCTCTAAAGTAAACGCTGTATACTGTAAGACTGTCTACGCTCAGCCTGTATACTTTCGTCTGAGCGCCATGCTCAGACGAAAGTATACAGGCTGAGCGTGCTGACAGTAAAATTATCTCAGAAGTAAACGCACCCAAAGTAACATGACAATTCCAGAGTTCATATATAGTTACTTTGGGACTCCTGCCCTAGGCTTTCCACATCTGGTCTAGATTTTCATCTAACTCCTTTCTCAGGATTAAGAATGGACGACACTGGAAATTTATAGGTCTACAATTTTCAAATTGTAGTCCAATAATTTTTCTGTAAGCACTATATTTACAAGAATATACTTTCCATATAGTTTTTACAATCTGTTGCTAAAATATAAACACTTTATCATCACATAAAAGCAATTATTCTCACATTTTCACAAGATTTTGTTTATTTATTTATTTATTTATTTAAAAAAGTCATATGAAGACTTTAGGATGTTACGGTTAGCAACTTCGATCATATGTTAGGCTATCACAATCCATCCAACACAGATCACTTTTCAAATATTAATAGTAGACCTGTATTAATTTAATTAGTATTAGTATCATTGAGCATCCTCTTTTCCAGGAGATCAACCACTACTTTTGAAGATAAAAAAAATTTGATGATAGAAAAAAGGGACTGTTGCAGAATAGGGTCAAATTACTTTGACCCCCTTTCGCAGCACTCCTTTCTTCCTATCAGACCCAGCAGTATGGTGGTATTCGAATAGGAAAATTATATAATACAAGATTACTGGCCAATACAAAATATGTTTTAAGTGGTTTTTTGAGAGTGCTGAGTTTAAATATTTGGTCTGTTTTTTGCAAAATTTGATTTGTTAGCAGATTACTGTTTGATATTTGACTGTAAATGGTACAGTTTCTTAGGTAATATTAAGAAAAAAATCTTAAATTTTTTAAGATTTCTTATTTTCAATTAGTGTTTACTTGACCAATGAAACTGTGTCATTTTTTACCATCAAAGTATTGTGATAAACATAACAATAGTAGGCTAAAATAACCAAACTCTTTATATGGTTTTTATTTTAATATTTGTTATATCGTAGTATTTAATTTATATAACTACAAAGGTTATTTTAAATAAAGGTTTATCATAACAACTGACCGATTTAACACATTTTAAAAATTCCTTATTCCACAATTTAATGAATTTTAAATGTATCAGATTGAGCACTTGGTGTGATAAATTCTTACCTTTGTAAATATAAATCAAATATAGTAATACCCGACTTACGCAAACTTAGAGTTATGCAATTTTCAAATCTCGTCAATTCGTCTTTTGTTTGAGCACCACGCAACCCTTGATTACTCACTCCCCCCACACTATTGTTCAGCTTACATGTTCGGATGTGTCGCTCGGAATCCACACATAGCTACAATTTATTTTGTGTTATTTATTTCTGTGTTTGTTATATCTACGGAGACTTGAGAGACTCTACTATGTCATCCAAATGAAGTAGGACTGATTCTTCTGCATCAAACAAGAAAAGAGAAACTTTATCTTTGGAATGTAAAGTTAACATTGGGTATGTTCATAAAGTCGAACAAGTTAAACGAGAATGACGTCATCGTTATTCCTATTTCGTTAGACTTTTTGAACGATTCGTTACTAACGCGTTTAACTCATTATTATTAAAGACTTCGATACAAAAATGAAAATTTGTGAATTGGCAAAGAAGTTTGATCTACCGGAATTGTCGGTCAGAACAATTATAAAAGGCAAAGAAAAATTCTCGAATCTGTGAAAAATGCTCAATCTTTAAATTCAAGCATCATTCATAAATGTCACTGTAAACGCTGAAATGGAAACAATGTTTTTGCAAAGTAAAAATATTGAAGAGTATATTTAAAGTACATTTTAACATTTTTATTTATTATAGTTAAGGAACCTACATCCATTAATTACATGGTACATTTTAAGGGATGGTCACAAAAAGTATATGTTTGTGCAAGGTTTTGCCTTTGTAGACCTTGTTAGTGTTATCAGTGGCATACATATTTGTTCTTACAAGCTTGGTTACTAGTCATATGAATAAACTATCAGTTAGAAATATTTGAAGAACTATTTTAAGTCATTTCTTTAATGTTAGGAGGGTCCATGAACTGTTCTACATGTAATTAAAGAAGAGAAAGTTTGCCAAAAGTATATCATTATACACAGCAGAGAGGAAAGAGATCAAAATTGGCTCAAAAATTGTAAATGTAATCAATGGATGACCTTAACTTAAGTTCAACAAATTCAAAATAGTGAATGTTTTGAATAAAATATGTCAATTTATTAAAAATACAACAAAATTTCAAAGAATAGTTTGTTTATTAATACAGTAGAACCTCCATTATCCGGACCTCCCTTATCCGGATTTTCGATTATCCGGATTGTTCAAAATAAACAAAAATTTTACGAATTTGCTGATTTGCACTTGGCAAACTACGACACTGTTTACGTACGTGATGGAATGCATAACTTTTTTTGTTTCAACAACGTCTTACCCAGCACAGTGGTCATAAACTCTTAATATATTTTACGTAGTAATAAAAATATAACTTGACATACGTATTTATAAATAATTTATATTCAAATTACATCATTTCTATAACCAAGGGCGGCGTAAGGCATGGACGATGTGGGCCACCGCCTATGCCTCGCGGTCCGAAGGGCCTCGCGCCTCGAAGGTTTATGGATTACTTAAAAGCCGCGAACACGAAGAAAACATCTTACTCGTCATAAAACGATAAATAGTTTGTCAAATTTTTGTTCATAAAAATGCAGTTTCAACTGCTTTTTATTTTAAAATCCGTCTTGTTGCGCCACCAGAAAGCCTTTTAAACAATAGGTAGTCTGTTAGCGTTGGTCAGTAGTAGTCCAAATTCAATACGAACGTTTGTTTCTTGAAAATTTGATCACGATATAAATACAGTATTTAATATTTTAATATTACCGATATGTCATTGAAAAGAAAACGTGTTGTATTATCATTAAAAGAGAAAGTATTTGTTTCGATTATCCGGATTTTTCCTTATCTGGACTACCTTCATCCCCAATTAGTCCGGATAATCGAGGTTCTACTGTAATTACTTTATACTGCAAAATGGGAATTAAGTAATAAAAAATATGCTTTGTATTTAGCATGGGATTTAGAAATTATTTATATAAAGTATTTCATTTACATTTTACATTTACAGTATGGATCAATTTTAAATAATTATTAATTGGAGTTATTTTACATAACTAGATTGAGAATTTTAATATTAAGATTTTGATGTTTGCTATATTTTCTAGAATATTTATTTAAAGAAATTAAATTGAATTATTATACTATTTTTTCAGTGCCACCAAATGGACTTGTAATATATTGTGGAACTATTGTTACAGAAGAAGGAAAAGAGAAGAAAGTGAATATTGATTTTGAGCCATTCAAACCAATCAATACTTCTTTGTATTTATGTGACAATAAATTTCATACAGAGGTATTTATCTGTTTTTATTAAATTAAAATTTTATATATTTTCATTGTGTTAATAAAGCATTATTTATCAATTTTTTTTTTGTGTATAATACTGAATATTATTTCCAAAAACTGATATATTTATTTTTTTGGATAAATGAGGTTAAAATAAATGGATAATTTATATTTTATTCAGATTTGATGTCATATGAATAAAAACAAAAAAAAAATATACAGAATACTGAACATTTCTGTGAAATAGATAATACACTGCCAGAAATGGAAATCCCACTACCAAGGAGGAATTATGCTAGATGAATGAAAATTACACATAATATTTATCTGCTTGATTTATTACATTGATATGAGTTTTGAGAATATAACTCACAAAATGTACCATGAAATACCACATGAAAGTTGAATATCATCTATCTCAATACCCACTTCAGTCACTGCCACATTGAATGACGGCATCCACATGTTCATGCATTTGATTGTAAAAGTGGGATAACATTCCAAACCTGCTGCACCTGCAGGGTCAGATTGGCAATGGTTGCTGCTGGTTATGGATGAACCTGGATCTGTCATCCAATCATGTTCCATACTTACTCTGTTGGCAAAAGATTTGGAGATCTTACTGACACATTAACATCTCGAAGAGCATGAGGGTTGTAGCTGTAGTATGGAAATGAGCATTATCCTGTTGAACTAGGACCCTCAATGCTGTTCATGAATGATAGAACAATGGGTTCTAATTACCATTCTGATATAAATGTTTGCTGTCATGATGTCTGGGATAACTAATATGGAGATCCTGTTACCATAAGAAATCCCTCCCCAGACTATAATTTCTAGGATTGGACAAGTATACCAATAATGGATGTTGCTTGCCTACAGATGTTCTCCGGGCCTCTTGATACGTGTAAGTCTATCACTGGTACCAAGGCAGGAATGGCTTTTATCTGTGAATACCAAAGAATTGCATTCTGCCCTCTAATAGGCTCTTGTATGACACCACTGAAGATGGATCTGATAGTGGGCAGGAGTGAGCAGCAAACATACCATGGGATGCCTGGAGTGGAGACCACTCTCTAGTAGACTGTTCTAAGAGTTTTTGTGGTAACACGTGGTGCTACTGCTGCTTGAATTTCTGCCAGAGATGTCTTCCAATCCACCAGGGATAACTTGCATGTGTTCTGATGTTCTGTTTCTCCAGTGGCCCAAGAGGGTCTGGTGTCTGGGTCCCAATCTTCTGGTAGTGCCTCCTCTGGAACATTGCTGCCAACAATTGTATACAGTGGACACATTTTGATCCATTCTTTGTGTGATCTCACAAAATGAAAATTAACCCTCTCATAGCTTACCACACAATCTCATTCAAACTCAGTAATTGCTGATATGTAATTCATTGTCACTTCTGAGGCATTTGGTATGTTGTAGGTAATATCACTGCAGCTTTTCACAACGATACTAATGCATATAAACAATCTACACACGTCTATTGGAAACATCTGATTTGGATTTTCTGTGACAATGTATTTGCATTCTGTGAGTTGTGTTCTTGAAACAGGTATAAATGTAATAAATTATACAGATAAATATTTTATATAATTCTGTGGTGTTGGAATGTCCATTTTCAGCAGTGTTCATCTCTTCAAGTTAGATTTGTTAATAATCAGAAAAAAATTTTTTGACAGTATCCAGTAAACTATAATTACTTAAGAGATTATTATTTATTATAATTTAATTTTGTGAAAAGATAAATCTATTTTAATTTAAATTTTGATTAATGTATATGTAGTTTTGATGGATATAGAATAAATTTACATATGCATAATTCAAAATTTCTATCTTAAATTGAACAATGAGTAAATGTTTCAAATAAGTTTAACCTCCGAATAGTGGACACCATCAGGACCAAGACGTTTGTCCGCTGTTCGGAGCTACGTGCCGGTGACCATATTGTATTTTAACCTGGTTATTATAAAGTGAAGAATACGATGGATTATGAAAACTTCATATTTGCATTAGGAATATGAAAATACCAAAATGTGTATGTAGCAAATGTAATTAAAATATATATACAGTTTATTATTTATCTTTTCAGCTGTAAAAATCACATTTTAATTGAATTCTAAATAGCAAACAGATTGTATAGGATACTTTAATTAAATGGAACATAAAAATTATGACAAAATGTAAAACTTGATTAATTATTAATTCATCAAAAACGACCTGAGTGGAAGTAATTAAAAAAATTGAAACTGTTATAATGAACCAGAAGGATGGTTGAAGGTCAGTTTAGGCAATGATAGTTTGAATGTTGAGTTACAAAGTTAAGAATTTTCTAGCTACTTCAGGGGTAAGAAATATATTCAGTATTCTTGCATTTATGATCTAAGTGACTAATAAATATTGATATAGGTATGAATTTCTGGAGCTCCAGTCAACCCCATCACACATTTTTAATGACCGTTTATTTTAAAAGATCAAATGAATCTTTCAGTCAGGACTCCTGGCACCACCTAATTATGTGAATGGATTTTTGTAGCAAACTTAAGGATTTTATAGGAGGGAATTCCAATCAAATTACTTGATTAAGATGATGGAGTTAGACCTAAACTATTCAAAAAACCAAGCATACTCAAATATCTGAATAAGATCTTAAATTTATTATTGCTAATAATAGAATACAAATCGAGATTAACAATAACAAAAATCCAGGTTAAAATACTTAAAGAGACTATGCTTAGATTATTCTCCTAAACCTGTTTTCTATCTGATGAAGAGAGAGTTTACAATATACAGTAGAGCGTCGTTTATCCGAATCAATTGGGGACTGGGGTGGTTCGGATAACGAATCATGTACGAAAAAATATATTAATTTATTCCATGTTGAAATTTCTCTTCGTTGCGTGTTGCTTCGCGTTGAATTTTCGTCGATGTTAAGCCTAACGAAGACTATTGTATCGTTAAAAATTATTTTTTTATTTTGTACAAACAAAATAAATTTATTGAAAAATATAAAAACAATAAAAAATTATACTTCAGATGTTAATTTAGTATCAAAAACGTAAAATATTTGAGTAGCCTGAGAAATAGCTGAAGATTGCAGTGTCACAGCACTAGCGAAAATTTAAATTTGCCGACTGGAATGCTTTCGGATAACGGACGTTTCGGATAACCAGCTTTCGGATGCTCTACTGTAATTGGAAATTTTATACCTCTTTTATATTTCTTTATAGGCTTTGTATTGACTTTTGATGGGTAATTTTCAGTGGAATTGCAGGAAACATCTAGGGGTTGAGGTGTCCCTATTCCAATCTCCTGCAACTGGGTTTATGCACTTATTCTATCATGGTTTACCTTATTTATTCTGATTCAATCATCCAATCATCAGGACAATTTGAGTCATGTGAAGAGAGAAGCAACAGGGGTCTTCCTTGTTGAATCAGTATAACAACGTTATCATCTCTCCTCTTAAAGCAGGAACTTCCTTTAAAAACAAAAAAAATCCTGTTGTGACTTGCAACTTAAACAAAAAATGACCTTTTCTTTAAATGATTAAATGTTACATTAATTTAGATATTTTAAAAATAATTATGGTCCCCTGGATCTCACGTAGGGATTTGTCTACTTTATAGTTATTGAGTACATATTGTAAATCTATACTCATTTATACTTTTTGCAATCTGTAAGTGTAATTTTTTGAAGATTTTTTCAATACGTGATTTATTAAAAATTACTTTAGCCACCACATAGCTGTTAAGATCATAAATTACGTCATAAATGCAAGAAAACTGATATCTTTCTACACTTTAAGGTGTTTAGCAAATCATCTTTGTATCACAACCATTGAACTTTTACCAAATAAGTGCTATTTTCTTAACTTTGAAATAGTTTCTTTTTCATTATTATAGTACTACAGCTCTTGTCGAATGAATGAATAAATTTGGGGACATGTTTGATTTCTCAGTACCATAAGCTTAATTCCAACAATAAGACTGAAGTTTAATAACATTAATTAATATGTATGATGATAAATGTTGTTTGACAACTTAAACAGATTAGTGTTTTCTAATAGTAATGAGTATTGTTTGGTTTTTTACAACCTGCCCTCCTACCCTATTCCTATTTTAAGCTAGTCTTTATTTGTTGCTTATGATCAAAATTTTTCCTCTGAGAATATTTGAAGTGATTCTTTGCTTTAGTTTTAAAATATCTTGTACATAATTAATTCTTTCAGAATATCAGAGGCGGAACTTTGTGTTTTTGTAAAATGGGTTAGGGGATGACAACATCCATTACTTAGAGGTAAATATTATAGATGTTGTATTTGAAGCATCCGGGGATGGTAAAAATGTCTGTTAAGTAGAGGTGTCTGCTATTAAGGAGTGTTCATTAATGGAGGTTTTACTTCATTTAGTTGTAAAGAATAAATATTAATATGATAAAAAATTTTATTTTAAAATTTTAATCAGTTACCTGAATTTGTCAATTTTAAATGCATAAAATTTGAATACATCTGAAATTTAATGGAAAAATTACATTTCAAAAGCATTTTCTTTGCATTTCATTTTTGTTGATTTCTTAACTTTTAAAATTAGCAACTTGTTTCATTTCAAAATATTAAAAAATTGAAAATTTATGTATTGATAAAAAGCATTTTATTGACTTTATAGGCTTTATCAGCTCTTTTGGCAGATGATAATAAATTTGGGTTTATTGTAATGGATGGTAGTGGTGCTTTATTTGGCACTCTTCAAGGTAATACAAGAGAAGTTTTACATAAGTTTACAGTTGATCTACCTAAAAAGCATGGTAAGTATATTTTGTATCCAAAATTTATTTCTTAATAATTTGTTTTAATGTGATTAAATTAATAAGAATAATAAAACATAAACATTATTATATTTCATAATACATTCATTGTAAAATAATATGAAAGATAGAATGAAAATATTAAGTTACAAATGTGTAAAATTTACTGAAATAAAATTTAATGAATCACTTCAGAAATTCCTTTCTATCTTATCATGGTGAAAAGTATTTGTTGCAATTTAAAATATATTGTAAGTATTACTTCATAAAATCATATAAGATCCAGTGATTCTTTTGGAAATTGAAAAAAAATCTCAAGTTGTTTTTCCACTTTTATAATAATTTTGCAACTTTGGTTTAATATTGCCACTTCTGTCTCCCTATACTGACACACTAACTTTGCAATTTTTTCTTGCACACTACTTTTTTATTAATGTAGAATTACTGTGCACTTTTTACTTTTATTAATACATGTAAGAAGTGTTATGATATACATACATACAATACAGACATACAGGAAAGACTTTGGCCATACACGAGGTGTTTAGCAGAAAAGAGGGGAAGGGGAAAGGAGAGAGGAGAGGCGATAGATAGTAGAGAAAGGTAGGATCCCTCTGAATGGCGTACATATGGCTACAGTACTCTCTATGTTTGATGTTCGCATGCAGTTTTTAGGCTGCAAGGCTCTAGTTCCCTGAAGGATCTAAAAGAAAACCTGAGTGTATCAAACTCCAATGATTGAGTGCCAGCATGAATAGTAAGTGTTAAAGTTAGTGCCAAGTGGCTGTTAGTAGGAAGACTTTTATCTACTTAATACCATTAAAACTGAATGCGAGCACAAACCTTAATACTACTTAACAGATAGACAGACAGCACGAAAAACAAATAAACACAACAACAAACAAGACCCTAATAAGGTTTTTTTTTATTATTAACATTAACTTACTAACTAAATAAAATAACCTATCATAACCTAAAATGAATCTAACCAGACGACTAAAGCTAACAAATGGTAATCTGGTTTAACCTAACCAGAAAGTCCCTAATCTAACTTACAACTAGGACTAACTTGAACTAACCGAATTTAAACTGAAAAAAGAAGACGGAAAATAAGAATTAAAATACAAACTTGAAAGGCAGCTATATACCGTCAGTTGAAACAAAGCAAGGGAAAACTAATTGCGATCCGTGACCCAGAGTAAGTGCTCTCAAGAGCCTCACTAAGGGATATGAATGCAAGTAGATGATGGAACATTGTACACATGTGAATGAGTTGGTGCAGGTTGCAAGGCCAGTTGTACCCTTCAAGAATAGCAGCTCTCATTAAACTTTTCCTAATGTGATTGTACATACTGTAGCAAAAAACTAAGTGAAGTGGTGTTTGGTCCTCCTGAATACCAGAATTGTATTGTGAATTGTCCCCAAGGTTAAATCTATGTAGGTATTGCTTAAAGTTGCCGTGTCCTGTAAGTAGCTGAGTGAGGGTGTAACTAGGGTGAAAGTGACGAAGAGTCACAGTAATATCAACCTTGGGGATGAAAGTGTAGCCTACCAGTAGTGTCATGGTCCCAGCAGTGTTGCCAGAGAATGAAGATTTGCTTCTTGATATGATTGTTGATGTATGAGATAGGAAGTGTTATGATACTGATTGGCATTATATTTTTGGGCTCCTGGTTGTAAACCATTGCATTATTCTGTGCAAACCACTGATATTCACAGGAACAACTCACACAGATGAATGTGCAGCTGGCCTATCATTTTGACAGCATGATTAACAAATTTGTGGGATTTAAATGAATAGAATTAAATCTTCTGTCAAATTTCACAAATTGGAGAAATTTTTTACCTTTGGGTTTATTGCAAAAATTTCTATTTTTACAATAGAATTTTACAATATTTACAATATTATAGAATACAATATTTTTCTATTTTTACATCATAATTTTTTTACTAGAAAATACACTTTCATCTGTCTTCTATGTAAATTTCTTAATTCTACCTTGTTTCTAACTTTTACAAGAATATAAGAAAATTTATTTATTACTTTTTATCTACATATTTGATTATGAAAATTAGTCACATTCAATTACCCTTTTTTGTTTTTGAAATTATTTTAGTTAGAAATGTTTTTTAAATTTATGTTTATGAATATCTGAGTATCAATTAGTGTAAATAAGTTTTCAAATGCTTCCTTAGTAATTATAATAAGTAGTCAGTCAAAAATTGTAACTTATCTTCTTTTCTGTTAATATCAGTCTATAAAATGAAATTTATTAAGTTATAGAGCAAAATTGAAACAATGTCTTGTGTGTCATGTGGTAGTTTGTTTATCCTATACATCACTCCCATAGATAGTTGGCTTCTTTGCATATTTCACTTGTATTCTGGAAATAGTACTTAACAGTTTTGTGACAATTGAAAATGAAATGTTTTTTTAAAGAATTAAAAGCTTTTGGTTTTTTTCAGTAACACATCATACAAGGAGCAGTTGTTGATGTAGGCTTTATCAATGGAGGGAATGATTTCAGGTTCTAATTACCTCTGTTCAGTCCTTACACTTTACAAAAGGAAGATAGATAATTACCTGTTAAGAAGGAGTTGTTTTCACATGTGGCTAATAGTTAGACTGTCATTTAAGTTCATTTTATTTTTGGACTCTTTTTTAACACGTAGTATCCTATAGATAATCCCATACTGCCCCATCTGGTGAAGTTATTCTGCCTTCCCATATACATACAACTGCATTCTGCAGATGCAATCGTGAACTTAAGGATGATCCAAACTCTGCCCACCTCTACCTTATGTAATATTAAATACTTAGTTTACTCTTTTTGTATTTTAAACACCACCACCTTGTATTCCTACTCATCTGCAGGTAATAACAATCTATACCATTTTATAATGTAACCATCTTAAACTTTGTTTACTTTGTAACTGTTTTACTTATCCTACTTTATCTTATACAACAGCGCTGTCCAACTGGCGGCCCGCGGGCCATATATGGCCTGCCAAATAATTTTTACGGCCCGCGAGTACATTTTACTATGAATAAATATATGTTACTAAATTATTATTATTAATATTAAAATTATTTTACTACCGTGTTTCCCCGAAAATAAGACAGTGTCTTATATTAATTTTTGCTCTGAAAAATGCGCTAGATCTTATTTTCAGGGAATGTCTTATTTTTTCCAGGAAGAAGAATTCACATTTATTATTGAACAAAAAAATTTCCAAGTCAAACTTAGACGAGAGTGACGTATATCCGGTGTGTCGAACTGTCGTCTTTTTATAGCGTCAACATCGGACTCGCTGACCAATTAGTTCTTACTAAACCGTAGCACTATGCAAATGTCATGTGGCGTGATTCCCGGCCGACCATCACCAGCCATAACGTTATGCAAATCTGTGATTTCCAAGCCATAGTCTTATGCAAATCATGCCGTGTGGCGTAATTGTCTGCTGACCAATCAGTGGCTGTACTTTCAAAAAGCCTACGGCCACTCTCAACCATCTGTCGATGACCGTTACGACTAAAAAAAAACTTCGCTAGATCTTACTTTCAGGGGGGTCTTATATTTCGCAATTCAGCAAAACCAGTGCTAGGTCTTATTTTCTGCGGATGTCTTATTTTCGGGGAAACACTGTATGTGAAAATTTAAATCTAATTTGAATTTAAAGTAGGTACTATTTAGTTTGCGTAACTTCACTTAACCTGGCTGAATACAGCAGCAATCCGTTTAACGTCTGATGATGGTTGGCTCAACGTTGTCGCCACATATTATATTTGTGGTTGGTTGTTGTTTATCTATGGTTGGCGCACGTGATGCGCACACTACCCTGCGCTGTTTGTTGATTCATGCAATCGTGCGAGTGCAGTCTTGTCTAGAATTTGAGGAGTGACTGTGTTATAATATTATTAACTTAATTTCATATTTATTAATTAAAATAATTATTGAATATGAGTGCTACTAATAAAAAAAAAATAGACCTCGAAAATCGAGAATTTCAAGATCGCTGGGAGATAGATTATTTATTTATTCTGAACCAGAATGGTAAACCACAGTGTTTGGAATGTTTACAAATCATAGCTGTGTGTAAAGAATATAACTTGAAGCACCATTATCTTTCCATGCATGAAAAAAAGTATCATTTGTACACGCGAGACACGAAAATATCACTAGTGAAAAAAATGAAAAAGCAGCTGGATCATCAAACGAATTATTTTAATCAAGAACCAAAATTTCAAGAAGTATCTGTAGCTGTATCGTTTGAAGTTTGTTTAGAAATAGTAAAGGCAAAGAAGCCATTTTTGGATGGAGAATTAATTAAAAAATGTGCCATAAAAATGGCTCAAGCATTTAATGACATTGAAATGGTAAGAAAATTTCAAACAATATCACTTTCTCACCAGACTGTAAGCCGACGGTAAACGAGATTAGCATGCATGTCACTAATAAATTAGAAAACCTAATCAATAGTTGCTGCTATTTTTCGGTAGCATTGGATGAAAGCACAGACATTTCCGATACAAGTCAAATGTTTATCTTTATAAGAACTGTAAATGAAAACTATAATTATTCAGAAGAACTTTTAAAATTACAATCATTACACGGAACAACAAAAGGTGAAGATATTTACAAACAATTAAAATGTGCAGTAGAGCAGTATGGCGGATTTGACAAGTGCTCTGCTATTGTAACCAACGGTGCTAGAGCTATGACGGGCAAAAATATCGGGCTCGTGAGACTTTTGCAAATGTGAGACCTGAAAGGCCCCTGGGTCTAATTTAATAATTTTTATTAATAATGTTAAAATATTGTCACCAAATATTACTTCATTTTTTGTGAGAAAAATAACGTTTTAGAGTGGGAAAAATAGATAACAGATGTTACTTCCTTTCACAGAAGTTAGCACATCCTCTGTTTTTCCCTTATCTGCGAAAACTCTCACTTTGATGGGAAATGTTTACCCCTCACATATCCCCCTTTCCATCCGTT